CTGTACGGGCTATTCACAATAGCCCGTACAGCTCCCGAACTTAGCCGGGCGGCTCAGTCGAGCCGAAGGCATATGCCTTCGGCTCGGCTGAGCCGCTCGCCCCGTCTTCTGCTGCTGCACGGGCTTTTGTGAATAGCCCGTACAGCAGCCCTTCGGTTCGACTGAAGCTGAAGGGCAGAGGGGGCCGGAGAGAGGCGAAGGATCAGCCTTCGCCTCTCGGCTGTATCCTACGACTCCATAGTAAATAACCCTCTAAATTTTCCTTCCAGTTCGAACGTTCGTTATGTAAAATACCTCATTATGGCCACTAGATGGAGCTGCAGAGCATGGGAATGTCGTTTTCTATTAAGCGCCATCTAGTGGTCAGATTGCGGTATTACATGACGATATTTGTAATTACATTGTACAGTCCTTTCAAATGTCAATCATGTAATACCGCAATCTGACCACTAGATGGATATATCATGTAATATACTAAGAACGTTCGTTTTGTCCATCCAATCACACGGGAGGGCGAATGGCTCTGCGGATTGCTTATCAATAGACCCCTAAAAATGGGAAGATCCAAAAATGGGGAGGGACACCCAAAAAATCCAAGGGGACCTAGAACAGAACCAGGAACTTGATACGCAAATGTCATCCAGTAGGCTTACATCTACTTCAAGGTCACTTTCACCATCTGATCGTGATTCCTGCGGTGGCTCGGGTTCTCATGTTGTCACTCACCTTATCCAAGCTCGCTGCAGTGTACTTTAATAATAACGATCTTCAATGTTCTCACAGACCAGTACAAGGACTACCAGTGGACGGGTCTGAATGACCGCACCATAGAGGGCGACTTCCAGTGGTCGGACGGGAACACCGTGGTAAGATGGCGGCAACTTGAACTGAAACGTGTTACCAATAAAGAAGTAACACGGTATTAATATTATCACGGCCTTCCTGCCACGGGTCTCGGGGGTATGTGGTCCAGAAGGTCCTTTAAAGCTCCAACAACTAAATCCACAGACTACGGGGGGCATTCCGGGGCATCGGTGTAGTACCGAATACCGCCAGAAGGTGGCACTGCCGATCTCCTATGACATGTTATTGTCTCTTTTTCATTTCTTTCAGCTCTTTGAAAACTGGAACCAAGGGCAACCCGACAGCTACTTCCTCTCTGGCGAGGACTGCGTGGTCACCGGGTTTCACGATGACGGTCAGTGGAGCGACGTGCCGTGTAACTACCACCTCCCGTACACCTGCAAGATGGGCCTGGGTAAGAGGATTGATGGCAGATACTATTGATTGCCCTAGCCATGGGCATCCACTTGGGGGGGAGGGTCATTGAGCACAAACTTTGAGGAATAACTTTGGAGCAGCTAACCCTAACCCAAAGCAACCCAACACGAGTATACTTACCCGTCCTTGAAGTTCCTTCAAGATCTTCTTTGTATTCGAATTGGAACATAAATGTACTAAGAATGTTCTTCTTACTAAACTTTGTTTCCAGTTTGAATGTTCTTTATGTAAAATACCTCATTATGGCCACTAGAAGGAGCTGAGGAGCCCAGCAAAGAAGTCCTTCCTGTGCTCTTCAGCTCCATCTAGTGGTCAGTTTGCGGTATTACATGACGACATTTGAAATTACATTGTGCAGTCATTTCAAGTGTCAATCATGCAATACCACAATCTGACCACTAGAGGCTGTCTAGAGGTGGACTTCCGTCTCCTATCACTTTCTCTCTGACCGCTCTCTATATGAGGTTTCGATTAGAAAGAAGCAGTCTGAAAGCGGGCTGCTTTAGAAAATCCGTTCTGTGACACACCAGTGCCAAATCTACACCCTGCAAGAAAATAAAGATTATATATAAAAATATATATATATGTATACACTATATTGGCAAAAGTATTGGGCCCCTCCCCCAACAAATCATGTGATTCGGGTGTTCCGTGACATTTCCCGGCTACTAAATATTCCGCCGCGGTCTGCCCCTTAGTTCCAGTCAAGGGAACTTTTAAGGCATCAGCACACCAAGACATTTTGGACAACTTCGTAGGAGGAGTTTGGGGACGGCCCCTTCCTGTTCCAACATGACTGCGCACCAGTGCACAAAGCAAGCTCCATAAAGACACGGATGGGGGAGTTTGGGGTGGGGAACGTGACTGGCCGCACAGAGTCCTGACCTCAACCCCATAGAACACCTTTGGGATGAATTAGAGGCGGAGACTGCGAGCCCCTCCCCCAACATCAGTACCCGACCCCACAAATGGTCCAACATTCCCATAGACACACTCCTAAACCTTGTGGACGCCTTCCCAGAAGAGGCGGAGCTGTTATAGCGGCAAAGGGCGGAGCCAACCCAATGCTGAACCCTACGGACTAAGACTGGGATGACATTAGAGGGCGGAGCCACCCCAATACTGAACCCTACGGACTAAGACTGGGGGGCCATTAGAGTTCATATACGTGTAAAGGCGTCCCAATACTTCTGGTGATATCGTGTATATATATTAAACACCTAAAACTGACCCCAAGCCCGGAATTTGGCGAGCCCCGTGAGCAATGTCTAATACCTTTCAATATATTGCACCCGAAATGTTCATTTTGTACCCACGTGTAAGGTTTGCTCACCGTGTGCCCTCGCGGCCGTGTTCTCCTTTAGTGACCTGCGGACCTCCCCCCGAGGTGGCGGACGCTTCCAATTACGGACGGCCCAAAACCCGGTACCAGATCGGCTCGGTGGTGGGGTATCGCTGCGACGACGGTTTCATCCAGCGCAATTCTCCGGTCGTCAGGTGCCAGTCGGACGGATTGTGGGAAGAGCCGCAGATCAGCTGTCTACCGTGTAAGTGGAACCGAATCCAGAGGTCCATACTTGTTCATCATACTCGGTATGTCACGGTGCCTTGAACGTGACCTCCATGTTCAAATCTAGAACCCAATGAGCAACATGATGCCCCCCTTTAGGAACTGTGAAGTGTATACATGTTGAAGTTATGGTACCTCCCCCTCTTCTCACTCTTCCCCATCCCACCTATTGACTAGACCGTGAAAACCCAGCACCGCACGGTGATCTTGTGTCCTCCTGTAAGGAACCTCCTTATGTTAGACTGACAACAGGACCCTGACCGGCTCACAGTGCTGGCCCACCCTGAATCCTGGTGTACAGGAAATAACGGAAAGGTCATAAAATGGCAAATTTCATGTACCGATGCCTATTTTTTTTCCTCCCCCACAGCTCTCCAATGATGTGAACTCCTTTGAGGACTCCTCTTGCCTCTCTCTTAGAAATTGTTACCCTGGTAGCCAATGGGCTGTGACTTTTACCCCGGACCCCGTTGCTGCAAGAAAAGGCCGGCCTTGTTCAACCGACACACCGCACGGGGAGGTTCTCTATGTGCCGTTAGACTAAAACCACTCTCATCCACACCACGAGTACCTTCAACACTTTCACCGAAAAGGCCGCGGCGAGCACGTCAGTGAAGAGGACTTGGTACAACGCACCTATGGACACAAGCACTCGTTCGAACTGGTTCTTGGGTCCGTGAAGATGGATATTACTAGAGATAGCAAAACCGGTTTCCTCAAATGATTACATTCCATTGAACCTTAACCCCGCCCACGTTTAGCGTGACTGCAAAGCCAACGAGCATATAGATGGCAACCAAGCTTCCTTGACCGTTTTTGAAGGACCAGGAACCTTCAGTTTGCCAAAATGGTAATCACATCGGCAGACCTGTTTAGGGGCATGACGAGAAATCACGAGACCTTGTAGCAAAATTTTCATGGGGCCCCTATCAGTGGCAGGTGACCTTTATACACACCCATTAAACATTGGTGGTCAGAAGTGGGCAGCCTACATTGCACCTCTATAGGGGTCCTATTTATATCTTTTAGCACTGGTGGTCACTGTACCTGAATACTTACAAATTAGGTGAAGTGGGAGCTGTTCATCATAGACGTCCACCTAATAAATAGCTGTTCTGAGGATATGCCATATACCAAACGTTTGTGGACACCTGACCTTCATACCAATATGAGCTTGTTCGACATCCTATTCCGAGATCATGTGCATTAAAATGGAGTTTTCTCCCAGTCCCACCTTGTGGCTATAACCTCCTCCACTCTTCTGGGAAGGCTTTCCTTGAGATTTTGGAGGACATCTGTAGGAATGGCCATTTGTGAGGTCTGGCACTGATGTTGGGTGAGAAGACCTGGCTCGTAGAGGTGTTCAGTAGGGTTGAGGTCGGGGCTCTGTGCGGGACACTCGAGTTCCTCAACACCAAGCTGGTCACACCATGTCTTTATGGAGCTGGCTTTGTACACAGGGGACAGTCATGGTGGAATAGAAAGGGACCTTCACCAAACTGGTCACACCATGTCTTTATGGAGCTGGCCTTGAACACAGGGGACAGTCATGGTGGGACAGAAAAGGGTCTTCACCAAACTGTGACCACAAGGTTGGAAGAGCACAATTGTCTACAATGTCTTTGAATGATGGAGGATGAACTGAACCTTCACTAGAGACACCTCAACTCCATCATATGGTAGGTCTGATGGTCATGTGTCTACAGATGTTTGGCCATATAGTGATCTCCAAGTACTTTGGCCATGGCCTGAAGTACAGGAGCCCATTGTACACAGGGGACACCCATGGTGGAACAGAAAAGCGTCTTCACCAAACTGTGAAGGTTAGAAGAGCACAATTGTCTACAATGTCTTTGAATGATGGAGGATGAACAGAACCTTCACTGGAGACACCTGAACTCCATCATCTGGGAATTGGGTCCTCATACTTTTGGCGTTACAGTAGGTCTGATGGTCAGGTGTCTACAGACGTATGGCCTTATAGTGATCTGAATTGCTTCACTGGAGACACCTGATTTGGAGGGATCTCCATGTACTTTGGCCATAGCCTGAAGTACAGGAGCCCATTGTACACAGGGGACATTCATGGTGGAACAGAAAAGGGTCTTCACCAAACTGTGACCACACGGCTGGCAGAGCCCTATGTATGATGTAGAATCAACAGAACCTTCACTGGAAGAACCTGAACTCCATCATTTTGAGGGTGTCTGTGGGAATTTGTCCCATTTGTGAGGTCAGGTATTGATGTTGGATGAGAAGACCCGGGCTCATAATTGGCCTTCCAATTCATCCCTATCTTGTAGAATTTCCAGAACCCTTCACTGGAAGCATCTTCATTTGAAGGGTCTCCACATACCTTTGACCATATAGTGTAAGCTGGTTTGGCTTAGTGGATCAAGGTGAAATTGATGCATTGAAAGGTTTGCTCTTGAGACAGCAATTTTACAAATCCTTTTCAGACCTGGACCCCCTTGCTCCTTGGGCTCCCATACCAGCAGCATGGTCTGCTAAGGTTAGCTATGACCTTAGGGTTAGGGTTAACCCTAACCCTAATGTTATAAGACTCTCCAGTGTTAATGTGTATGTCTAGGCTAATTTTATTTTGTAGATAGTTTGGTCGAGGGTTAGACCTTCTGACAGTTTCTTATTGCTGGGAAGACCCATCGCTATACTTGTATACACTGTCACTGAGCAAGAACGTGCGGGAAAATCCAAAATATTAGAACAAGAGGTAAGGGGAACTCTTCCATTGGGGACAACTGTTGCAGGAACAACTGTCTACGAGAGAAATACCCCTCGCTTCGGAGAAAGCTCTTGTTCCATCCCTTGGACAGCACGCTGGCCGATCTCCGGGACTCCTTCAAAATATCTTTCTAATAAAGGAAGAGTGGAATCGAGAGTTTTTATTTCCCCAAATTTCCATAAGAATTGGAAAATTTAGGCAAAATTTCACTATTCTGGCCAAATACCTTAGGGGAAGCCGATGGGGAAGGTGAAGTTACGATGGCTACTGGTGGTCTTCAAGGGTGCTTTTAGTATACGCAGGCCAGTGAGCTTGCTGCCCGTAACGCGTTTAGGTTGCCCCGGCTTTGTAGGTTTGTCCATTTCCAACATGGCTGCCTGGTTGCTGGTTCTGATCGATCTCCATGTGATCTCTTATGGTCTCTGTGGGCTCTGGTCTCAGTGGTGCCTCCATGAATGATGATAGACCTCTTCTTCTCAGCCTCCCCCCCCCCCCCAACACGTCTGCCTTCTCCAGGTACCCTTGATGCCTCGGTATATTGCCCTCTCTACCAGTTTTGTATAGGTGCTACGTTGTACTTTATGTTCTTTTTTGTTTTTAATGTGCATTGTGGGAATAACATTGTTAGTAAATGTTTTTTTTTCGGAGCAGTCTTCTGACGCAGATGATCTCAGCCTTTAAAATAAAGACGATTATATATATAAAAAAAAAAAAAGCGGCGTGAGCCTGGAGTATTTATACCAGCGTCATACGAAGGGCCGGGCAGAGCGACCGTGTAACATGCAGCCCAACACGCAGGGTGCTGTGTGGACCGGAGTGTGTCATGAGGAGCACAGTGTATAGAGTACAGCAGACTGTAGCCTATAGTGCAGCATATAGAAGGCAGTATGAGAAGCACAATAGGCACCAAGGATTGGGCTCGGGCGTGTCCGCAGCTCCGCGTGCCGAGCACGCCAGGAAGCTGACCAATCACAGGCACTGAGACATTTCCCAATCTCTGCAGCTGCGGACCGGGAAAAATGTCTCAGTACCTGCTAGCTTCCTGGCGGGCTCGGCACGCGGAGCTGTGAACACGCCCGAGCCCATCCTTAAAGGAGAACTATGGGGTTAAGGCTTTTCCCCATAGTTCTCCTTAGGGTAACGGGGGGACACAAACTAGCGTCCTCCTCCCGTCACCCTAGGGTCAGTAGCTCGCGGTATACTGAGACGCCGCAGATGAAGCGGATCCCGGCAATTATGTCTGGATCCGCCCAGCTGCGTGAGGCAGAGCCAGCTGTACCCGCCCCCTACCCCGTCCGTTCCGCCAGTCAGCGCTGGAGGATCGGAATCCAG